AGGTAATTCGTTGGACCTGGAAAGTGTCTGAAGAAGTGGTGGCCCTCCACTGTCCATTTCTTAGTACCATCGTCCCTCCTGAAGGGTGTATGACAAAAAGGCCCCTTTTCAGTACTGGGAGGCTGCTGTATCATCCCCCCAGAGCCTTCACTTCTCCGGGCTGTAGAGTCCCAGCTGTCTCAGCCTGTCCTCATATTGGAGGTGTTCCAGCCCCCTGATCATCTTTGTGGCCCTCCTCTGGACCCTCTCCAACAGCTCCATGTCCTTCTTGTGTTGGGGCCCCAGAAACGAACACAGTACTCCAGGTGGGGTTTCACAAGGGCAGAATAGAGGGGCAGAATCCTAGAACCACAGACTCACAGAAGGGCCTGGGTTGAAAAGGACCACGATGATCATCCATTTTCAACCCCCTGCTATGTGCAGGGTCACCAACCACCAGACCAGGCTGCCCAGAGCCACATCCAGCCTGGCCTTGAATGCCTCCAGGGCTGGGGCATCCACAACCTCCTTGGGCAGAATCACCTCCCTGTACATGCTGGTCACGCTTCCCTTGATACAATCAGGACATGGTTGGCCTTCTGGGCTGCAGGAAGTCATATCATATGATATGTCATGATATCATAGTCAGCTCATATGAAGCCTTTCACCAAGTGACACCCCCAAATCCTTCTCAGGGCTGCTCTGAAGTCATACTTCCCAAACCTACACCTATGTTTGGGATTGCCCCGACCCAGGTGCAGCACCTTACATTTGGCCTTGTTGAACTTCATGAGGTTGGCATGGGCCCACCTGTCAAGCTTGTCCAGGACCCTCTGGATAGCATCCCATCCCTCGAGTATGTCAACTGCACCACTCAGCTGTGTGTCACTGCAAACGTGCTGAGGATGCCCTTGATCCCACTGCCCATGACCCCTACAAAGATGTTAAATAACACTGGTCCCAGCACTGATCCCTGAGGAACGCTACCATCACCAGTCTCCACTTTGATACTGAGCTGCTGACCACAGTGTACACGTACATGAAAGCACAGCTCAGACTGAAGAGATAGAGAAACCTGGCTCTCCCCATGGCACGTGACTCCATTTCCTCAGCTAAATACCTCTGGATAGAGTCTTGAATAGAACAAGAAGCGAGAAGTTTTACTTGTTCTCCATGTGGGCATCTGCTTTCACTTCACTTGGCCGAAGAGACTTCTCAGCCGGCTCCAAGAGGGTGCCCTCAGATGTCACCCTGACTCCAGGAATTACTCCATTAGAGCTTGCCAATACCTGCAAATCTCTTGGACCTGAGATGTCACTGGGTCTTTGCTTCTCAACAACGCTCTGCTACTCTCCGTCTCCATTATTTACCATGAGAGCTTAAACCAGAGCATTTGTTGCATGCTTGAGCAGAGGCAGGATGAGTGCACACACATGGTGAGTATGGAAGGAGCTGAGAGCCCTTCCATCCCATCGCTACAGACCTAGAATGAGACAGATGCCTCGGCTGACTCAGCTGAGTCATTTCCTTCTGCTTGGGCTCCTGTGACCCCTGCCTGTCACTGCCAGGTGACCTGTCTGTGTTGGGAGAAGGGTAAGGTTATTCTCACACCTAACTCTGTCTCTGACAGCAGAAATGACATTGCTGGGAAGGAGAGTCTCAGCACAGCAGAGGGAGGAACATCAGGGACTCCTTCAGTGTTTTTCCATGCATCTTCCTGAGGAGCCACAGACTTCTGCAGGGAGCACAGAAGGACAGAGAAAGGGAGCCCTTGGGATGTACCTCTGCTGCTGAGCTGGGCTGGGCTCCTGGGATGCAGGCAGCTCATACAGCTGCTGGTACACGAGCAGCTCCTCTCCACAGTGCAGCAGGGCTGGGGAAACGCCTGCAGCCGACAGAGAGGAGAAAGAAGGGAGAGATGCATGATGTGATGCATAGAGAAGGAGAAGCTGAGAGTTCACTTGGAGGAGCAATGCTCACAGACCTTAGCACAGTAAGTCTCTGGCTGGCTGGGCAATGTTCATGTGCATCCTGGATGAAATTTCTAGACCAGGGACATTCCATAGCAGATGAGGGTGCAGGCAGTCTGTTTATTTATTGCTGTGAAGGACCGGCTCTGGATGAGGGCTTCCTTGCTGCAGCACCAGAACAGCCCTGAGGGCTCAGTGTGCCCGGACGGCTGCACGGTTTGACTCTCTTCCTGTATTTGACTCCATTCCTGTGGTTCCTTCTGGGCTGCAGGGCGCAGCTCTGCCATGGCAGCTCTGTTTTATCCAGCAGTACCATGCAGAAGATACCTCAGCATTAAGGCCATGGAAATGCTGCTAGATGGCAGTGTCCCTGGCAGGGAAGGGAGAGGTGAGATCTTTCGCCAGTATGGTGAGAAAGGTGAGCGGCTTAGAGTTCTGCACTTGTAACCAGGATTCCTCTGCACTTACCAGCATCCAGAGTCTTGTCAGGGTAATGCCTGAATGTGACCATCCTCCAGAGGTGCAGCCAGCACAGGGCAGCTATGCCCTGGACTGACAGACAGAACAGCTGTCCTGTCTTGGAAGTGAGGGATATGGCCTTTGTCTCTGAACTGAAAAGATTTCACTTGGAGTGTAGTACGATGATCAAGGATTTCCACGTTCAAAACACTCCTCAGGTGTGCTGGGAAGACTTAAAACATGCAAAACATTTTCCAAAGAGCCCTGCAGTACAGTTTTGTGAAATGTGCGAAAAACTCCCTGATATCTCAGTTTTTTACTATGGGAGCACTCAGCATTTCTGTTGTTTTATTGCTGTAGGACTGACTCTTCCAGAGAGTCAGCAGCAGAGCTCCATGCACAGAGTGGTGCCCTCAGCCAGCAGCAACCAGAGCACAACGAATGTAGCAGCAGGGATCTTGCTGTAGGCAGAGAGGCAGTTTGGGGTGGTTCAGAAGACATGGGGTAGGATTTGCTGGGAGAGGCCTAAACTAACATTTTACTATGTTTTCCTTCCCTGGGCAGGTTCCAGTGCCCACAGGCAGCAGATGCCCAACAGCAGCTCCATCAGCGAGTTCCTCCTGCTGGCGTTGGCAGACACGCGGCAGCTGCAGCTCCTGCACTTCTGGCTCTTGCTGGGCATCTACCTGGCTGCCCTCCTGGGCAACGGCCTCATCAGCACAGCTGTAGCCTGCCACCACCACCTGCACAGCCCCATGTACCTCTTCCTCCTCAACCTTGCCCTCCTCGACCTGGGCTGCATCTCCACCACTCTGCCCAAAGCCATGGCCAATGCCCTCTGGGGCACCAGGGACATCTCCTATGCTGCATGTGCTGCACAGTGCTTTCTGTTTGTCTTTCTCATCTCAGCAGAATATTCCATCCTCACCATCATGTCCTATGACCGCTACGTTGCCATCTGCAAGCCCCTGCACTACGGGACCCTGCTGGGCAGCAGAGCTTGTGCCACCATGGCAGCAGCTGCCTGGGGCACTATGTTTGTATATGCTGTGCTGCACACTGCCAACACATTTTCACTGCCACTCTGCCGAGGCAGTGCTGTGGATCAGTTCTTCTGTGAAATCCCCCAGATCCTCAGGCTGTCCTGCTCTCAATCCTACCTCAGAGAAATTTGGGTTGTTGTGATTGGTGTCTCTTTGGCATTTGGGTGTTTTGTTTTCATTCTTTTCTCCTACGTGCAGATTTTCAGGGCTGTGCTGAGGATGCCCTCTGAGCAGGGACGGCACAAAGCCTTCTCCACGTGCCTCCCTCACCTGGCTGTGGTCTCCCTGTTTGTCACCACTGCTTTTTTTGCCTACCTGAAGCCTCCCTCCATCTCCTCCCCACCCCTGGACCTGGTGCTGACAGTTCTGTACTCGGTGGTGCCTCCAGCAGTGAACCCCCTCATCTACAGCGTGAGGAACCAGGAGCTCAGGTGTGCTCTTAGAAAAGTGATTTCACAGGTGTTTCTTAATAAATTCCCCTTCTTTCTCCACAGATAACCTCCTTCTTATAACCTGACAGGCCTGATCTTTTTTTTTGTTTTCATTACTGATATTTTTATATTTAGTGTCATTAGCTTTTCTTAATTTCTTGGAGGAATGCCTTCATCCCACTTCTCGTGTGCTATGAAACCACTCTGCTAACTCCTTGGAGTCCTCAAGTCCTCAAACACAACGTCAGTGTTGACTCTCTTCACAAATGCTTTATTCAATTGGATCTCCACAATGCAGTGCCTCAAGACTTGGCTCTTCTTCCAGAGACACTGCCAAGAACGAGACTGATTCACTGCACACCAAAAGGCCTGTTGCTCCACAGATTTGGGACAGAAATAGGCTCACTGTAAGATCAGGATTTGGGCTCACTGTAAGATCAGGATTTAGGAGCAAACTCTTGGATTAAGTGAATATTAGTATTTTAGGAAACTTTCAGACGAGCGGCGTTGATCTCTTCACATCCATCCCCTGCTCTGCCCAGCTGTTGCTGGCCCCTTTCCCTTGCTACCTGCAGCTCGGTGGGAAGGAGATCCGTCTGCTGCAAATTCCCTTCCCCAAGGTCCATTGCTGTATTGGGTGCTCAGAAATATTAGGGAACACTTCCAAGGACTCTAGAGGAATCCAGATGTCTTTCTAAATCCAGAAGGTGAAACTTCTTTGAGGAGTACAGGAATATCCCCTGTGCATGCTTTCCCCCTGCAGAATCTCCCAGGAGTGCATAATCCTTGTTTTCCTGTGGATACATGGATACTGTGTGTGACTCCATCCTCAGTGATCTTTCACTCTGTGGAGGCTCCAGCCCTGCGCACATGCTGTGACTGAGAACACCAGGGCTCTGCTGGCAGCGTGGCATTCCTCTCCTGGAGGATGGTCTCTGCCCTGCCACGTGTGGGACAGCCATGGGGTTGTACCCCAGTGACCATTCATCATCAGGCACCAAGTTAATACCTGGAGTGTGGGTATCCCAGAAGAAGCTCACGGTGCAGAGCCAGAAGTCCATGGTTTCCGGTGCTCTACCATGCATGGGAAGTGCCTGCAGAAGGACTGATGCCTTCTACTTCCCACTTATTAAAGCGACTTGTTCTCCCCAAATGGTTGCAAAAAAGAAAGGCTGGGAGCCTCCGTCATGATTTGCATGTATGGAAACACGACTCAGAGTTTACTGCTGTTCTGCAGTCCATGCCCAGCACATACACTTTAAGGGGACACTTTTCCTCCAAGCTGTGTGCTGGAGCCTGGAGAAGGGAAGGCTGAAGGGGATCTCACTGCAGCCTGACAGAACCGACGAGGAGATGGCGAGCACAGAGCCATGTCCTTCCCCATGGTGCATGTTGGGAGATAAAAGAGAATGTGTGGAAGGTGAAAGAGGAGAAGTTCAGCCTGCACTGAATAAAACACTCTTATAAAACACTTTTTTCACCGTGAACTAAGACAAGACCTGGGACCGCTCACACAGCAATCTCTGCAGCCTCCACTTGTGGAAGGACGCAAAGTCAGCAGGATCAAGCCTAGAACAACTCAATCTCACCCCGTTTCTGACAGGATGGACTGCAGACCTCTGAGTTCCTTTCCAGTCTGGGTTATCTCGTGATCCTACGACCTCAGAGTCTACTGCTGATGGGAAGCGAGCAGATGTTTAGAGGGCGTGAAAGCTTTGTGATGCCTGTTAGCACCTAAAAGAAGAACTAAATCCATGAAGAGCGGTCAGCACCTCACTGTGCCTCATTCTGTGCAAAGGATGAAGGATGTTGCGGATAATCTGGGCAGGGAAAGCTTGGGGCGTATCAGGCAGTATGCCTTTTTTTTTAATTGTTTTTGTAAACTTTAGATACGAAGGACATTAATGAATGTAAATATAATTGTAACAAATTATTGAAGGCAAAGACTTAAAGAAAATGCATCATCACACTTTTCAGCTCACAGAATGCTTCAGAGCCTTTTTAATGTGGGTTTGTTTGGTTCAGAATACAAGTCTTTGGGATAATCTCATGTCTTTATTTTGTTGTTGTTTGGAGGACACAAATGCCTTCAGGGCTTTGATTACTGCTCTGGCCCTGCTGTGTATTTGATCTCCCTCACCCTCCAGGCGTTTCTGGCTTTCCTGAATAAATGATGGTGCCTAAGGGCATCTTTTCAGCAGATGAGGTGGATATGTCCTCTTCCCCCCACTCTCCAGATTTCCCATCCATTCCTCTTTGTATATTCACATACTTCCCAAATACCTGGCTGTTCTATCAGCTTCGTGAAGTCAGAAGCTTGTCCCATCTCTCAAAAGTCTAACAAACCCTCCAGTCAACTGCTTAACTGTGTTTTTATCTATCCATTCCCATTCTCTGTCTAGCACATTTTTTGTACAAATATTCCCTTTGGATGGTAGACCTCCTTAGATGCAGCTTGGACATGGAATCCAGTTGAGGAGAGTGTTTCACTGTTAATTCAGTTGCATCATGTTTCCTTCTGTTTGTAGGCAATGTGGAGAAATCTTTCTTTGCTCATTGTGCAGCTGGTTCTCTGAGAAATCAGGTGGAAGCAGAAACAAAGGAGAATAATACTGAGCTGCAGGAGAAGAGCAGTGTGAGGACTCATTAGGGGACCCACTGGATCAATACTGATTAATAAGTTCTGCTTTACCTCCTTGTTTAAGCCGGAGAAAACGTAAATAAATAAATAGATGTTTTAAATGCCTATTGGAGCCTTGCTCTTTAAGCCCACTCCTGGTAGCTCTCCAGTAGCTGTACAGGTTCTGAAGAGCTGAGGAAGAGAACAGGAAGGGACAAAGCACATGAGGGCTCTCCAGGTTGTAATGGGTCCTATGGGGCATTCGGTGCTGAGCCCATCAGCCTCCAGGGCTGAGAGAAGAAGGCACAAAGTGCTCAAGAAAACATCAGAAGGAAGTTTTTGTAGAATTAATGGGTCCCACTGAGAGCACAGCCAGCACAGCCAGGGAACTCATTAGAGCAGACAATTGGAAGCCGTGATTACAGAGAGACAAAGGCACTGTGCTGGTGGCTCTGATGCTGAGAAAAGCTCTCCTTTGTTTCATGAAGCACAAAGGCTCTGATCCCCAGGCCGCTGGAAGGAGATCCTGTCCTTCATGCTGGCTCAGCACTGCTCCTGGGGCAGTGTCAGCCTGTGCATGGGCTGCAAGGAGGCCACGAGGCCCATGAGGACAACGTGTCCCCTCCCAGGCCTCTGTACCACAGACAACATCACAGCCAACAAAATGCTCTTGTAGCCCAGAAGGCCAACAGTATCCTGGGATGCGTCTAAAGAGGGGTGGCAGCAGGGAGAGGGAGAGGACTGGCCTCCTCCACACAACAGTGTGAGACCCCAAGCTGGGGACTCCCAACATGGCAAGGATGCAGAGCTGTTGGAGCAGGTCCAGGGAAGGGCAAAAAAGGGGATTAAAGGGCTGGAGAACCCTTTGAAGAAAGGCTGAAGGAGTTGGGCTTGTTCAGCCTGGAAAAGATGAGGCTGTGGGGAGACCTCAGTGCAGCCCTGCCAGACCTGAAGGGGTTTACATGGTCTGACTGTGACAGGACAAAGGGAAATGGCTTTAAACTTAAAGAGAGGAGATTCAGGTAAGATGTTAGGAAGAAAGCTTTTTCTCACAGGGTGGGGAGGCTGTGGAACAGGTTGCCTTGACAAACTCCCCTCAGATGTTTTTTCACATGATGTCAAAAGGTATGAAATATCTCTTTGGCCAGTTTAGGTCAGCTGCCTTGGTTCTACTCCCTGCCACCTCCTTGTGCCCCTCTGAGACCCTTTGCTGGCAGGACAGTGTGAGAAGCAGAGCAAACTGAAACGTCTTTTCCTCTGTACAGAACTGCTCAGAAAAAAAAAAAAACAAACTAGAAACATTGGTGAGCTATCACCATTATTTTCCCCCAAAACTGAAACAGAGCATCACACCAGACACTGTGATGAAAGGCAACTCTGACCCACCTGAAAACGAGACACCACCTTCCCGACCGTCATTGGGAAAACCTATTCTGGATGGAAACAGAAGCATTCAGGCTGGAAGGAACCTCAGCCGGTCTCAAGTTCTACCTCCTGCTCACAGCAAGCTCTGTTATCTGTTGACACTGTAGTGCACAGGAGTTTATTTTGGTCACGAAACCTCTCAAAAAGAAGATGGTCTCTGGGAAGCCTTCCGTTGTGCACTGGCTCCCATCTTCCCTGCATGTCCAGCACTGAGGAGTTTGACTCTTGCTGATTACTTCCTGGTAGGTGTGGAAGGCTGCAGGATGGTCTTCCCTAAGATGTCTCTTCTCCCAAGTAAGCAAAGCCACCTCCCTCAGCCTCCCGTACTGAGAATGTGGAGCTTCCAGATGCATGCTGAGATGCTTAAGGCTCTTCCCGTTCTGCCAGAATGCCTTGGATCTGCAAATGCTGTCAGAGCTCCTGGAATGCCATGACCCTCCTGCCATGCTTTGCTGCCTGTGTCACTGGCATCATGTTGTAATGCACAGCCGTTTTAAGCTGTGAGCAGGGCCCAGTGTGAACAGGCACTCAAAGCAATGAAACAATCAACTTACAGAACCGTAGAATGGCCTGGGTTGCAACGGACCATAATGACCATCTGGTTTATGTGCAGCAGACCAGACTGCCCAGAGCCACATCCAGCCTGGCCTTGAAAGCCTCCAGGGGTGGCACAAAACCTGAGATGGGGCAAAAAAACAAACTTCAAATGTTTCAGCCTGGGTGGAGGCACCATCATCTCACAGGGAAAATCTGTCGCCGGGAGTGCTGTGGTTGATGATAACCCACACGGAGAGGAGAAATTAGTGACTCCAAGAATCACAGTAGCTGTAATCACAGAAGGCAGAATCACTAATGCATTCTCGCTGGAAGGGCCCTTGGGAGGTTTGTAGACACAGCATCACAGAATCACAGGGGTTGGAAGGGATCGCTGGAGTTCATCTATTCCAACACCCTTGCTCAAGAAGGTTCTCTAGAGTGGGCTGCACAGAAATGTGTCCAGGTGGGTTTTGAATATTTGAAGGACCCACTGCCTTGAGAGGTGCTGGCAGCACTGCAGCACATACAAAACTCTATGAAGATGAGGCAGTGACTGCTGGGGCAACAGCAGAAGGCAAATGGGAAAATCAAGAGAAAGACCTAAAAGGAATGAAGCAGTTGTCCTTTCAGGAAGTGTCAAGACCAGCTGCCCAGCTGAAATGCCTCTCCACCAATGCATGCAGCTTAGGAAACAAACAGGAGGAGCTGGAAGCTACTGTGCTGCTTGAAAACCACGATACAGTTGTCATCGCTGAAAGCTGGTGGGACGATTCCCATGACTGGAGTGTGGCTATCGAGGGCTCCAAACTGTTCAGAAGGGCTACAGGCTGTTCAGAAGGGCTACAGGCTGTTCAGAAGGGAGAGGCGAGAAAGGAGTTGTAGGGGTGTTGCTGCCTGCACTAGGAAAGGCATAGAATGCGAAGAGCTGACCCTAAGGAACAAGTCAAAAGCCTACGTGTGACAGTTAGAGACCGGGGCAGCAACAGGAACCTTGTGATGGGTGTCTACTACAGGCCACCAGATCAATCAGAGTCTGATGATGAGGCCTTCTACCTCCAGCTACAAGAAGCATCACAATTTGTTGGAAAAGTAGCATGGCGATCTGTAGGCAATTGAGGAGGCTTCTGCAGTCAAGTAATTGATGACCCCACACTGGGGGATGCAGTACTGGACCAGTTGCTCACACTGTCTGTGGGTCTCGATGAGATGCATCCCAGAGTCCTGAGGGAATTAACTAACTGATGTAGTCACCAAGCCACTCTCAATCACAGAATCATCACAGAATCACAGAATGGCTTGGGATGGAAGGATCATCAAGCTCCAACCCCACAGGCAGGGCTGACAACCTCCACATTTAATACTGGACCAGGCTGCCCAGGGTCCCATCTCAGCTGCCCCTGAACACCTCC